ATTATACATGTAGGTTTGGATTGTTGCTTTTGTTGTGACATGAGGAAAGGGTTTTAGTCAACTGTCTACTGTGATAACTTGCATTGTCCATTCAATTACGCTATTAGGAGGAACTTTCAAAAAAATCCAGAGAAGAATCTTTAATATTTTTTGCAGACAGAGAAAGTTCATTTGGAATCTAACCATCTTTAGAGCCAGGATGCAAAATAGTTATTTTTTTACCTCTTTTTGATGGCGCGTTTGTTTTACACTTATCAGTTGAGTCAACCCAACTCTTTTCCGGGCCATCATAAGTGTCCAACCAGGTTTCATCCAAGTAAATAATTGGCCTTTGTTGTTCTCTGTAAATCCTAATTTTTTATAGATATTCCAGTCGCCATTTCCGAATTCTAAAATATTCCATTAAAATTTGCCTTTTGACATTTTTTTAAAATCTAATATCCAAGTATTGAATACACTTCCATAAAGTAATTCTGCCACATTTAACACCGATTTCATCTTTTTCAAGCCCCCTAATTAAGATATCTAATGTATGCACGCTTTGTTCCTCGTATAACTGGTAAATTTTACGCCGTATTATATCTTGATCACTTTCATCTACATTCGAGAAAATGTCAGCATCGCTTCTTTTTTTCCTCGCTGAAATGGGATTATACACAATTTTCCATACAGTTGATGTTAGAATTTTCGTCCATATGGCCGTTTTTTCAAAAGGTGCTTGCTTGCTGGCACCATGTTCAATGAGAGTCAAATAAAGATTGTTTATAACGTCCTTAGTCTTAGTCTTATAAAGTCCTTAGTCTCTTAGTGTTTTCTACATTTGGTCGGGAGCATCTCCTGAGATACACTAGACTCGTACATATTTTGTATAATTCACACACGATTCAACACACGTTGTATTACACACTAAATAAGAATGATTACTAATAAACTTAAACTAAGTAGTATACCAAACCAAAGAATATCAAACACAGGTAGGTATAAAAATATTTTCTTTTACGGACCACAATTTTACCTCAATTTAAATTCCGAAACTTTAGGTAATAATCTTGTTGCATTGTATATTAATGACCACCCTTGGATAATCCCATTCAAAAGCAATTGGTCACTTTCTTATATCTATGAACAGACCATACCTTCTACTGTTTGAGGAGGGCGGAGCTAAAAGGGAGACATGAACATTGTCTCGGATTCTCATTTTTGTGGAAGTTAAAGACCTGAGTCGCGTTAAGATTTCTGATGTCCAGTTTTTTGATTGTGTTGCTGATGAGTTTATTTGTCGTAAGACTTTTTCATGTTCTTTTGGTCGAGTTGATATTTTATTTTACCTCATGGTCAAGAATCTCTCCGAGATTTGGTTGGTCATACACCGTAAGATACGTTTTGATATTGAACTAGAAAATAATAATTATCTGCCATTCTTAGGTATTCTTAATTCTTAATTCTTACATAACAGATGTAAAAGAAAAACTACAAACATGAGAGACTGGAACAACATGGTTTTAAAGAGGCGAGTACTGGTCCAAATAAATATATTAAAAGAGTCATACGTCAGTTAAAAAACGGTAAAACTCCAGGCCCTGACTACATCTATCAACAAGGATAAGGTCGCCGGGGTCGCCATAGCTAGCAACAATTTTTCAAAAAGCTAATGCCAAACGCAGCTCAGAGTATCAGAGTATAAGCTTTATGTGCCATATGCTAAACCTTTTCCTCAAGGTTATTCACCACAGGATATACAAAAAGTGTAAAGAAGCTGTCTGTGACACACAGCTGAGCTTTAGAAATGGTGTTGGAACTAGAGTGCTCTCTTTAGCATGATGCTTAGATATGAATAGACCGTTATAAATGTTTTTTTATAGACTATGAATCTTTGGATAAGGTATAACATCCTAAAATGACACAAAACCTTCAAAACATCGGGTTGGATGAGGGTGACATAAGAATTATAGCTAATTTATACTGAAATCAACGAGCTTCGGTTCAGGTGGAGCACATATATGGGAGCAGATAGAGCAGACAGTTACTCTGAAGATCTGCACTGGTAGTTAACAAAAATTAACCAGGCTAGTAATGCCAATGGTCTATTACTAAATTTAAAGAAGATGAAAATGATGATTGTCAGCAAGAAAAATATTGGAAATGTTCAGTTATCAAGAAATCATAGAAAGAATTGATAAGTATGAATACCTCGGATGTTGCCTGAGCAGTGAATGGGACATTGGACAGGAATTGCGGATTCACATTGAAAGAGCCAGTTCATTTATCCAAATTTAACAGCTTCTTATATGTAGACAATTGAATCTAAGTTTAAGATTACACCTGGCCAAATGCTACATATTTGGATAGACATTGTTAGCTTGGCATTGCCTTTGTGGGCTTACTGTCGTTTACTTAGGACTTCCTGAACTGATAGGATTCGAAATGCTGCTGTTTTCTTACGTCTAAATATAAATATAAAGGCGAGAAGTACCACTTGCATTAACTAATAATACAAGGTACAATTGAAGGCCGACGAGCGAAGACGAACATCATAGTTAAGGAACTTGAGTGAATGGTATGGAAAAAATACCTGATCTTTATTTCGCGCAGCGGTCTCCAAAATACAGATAGCCAAAATGATCCCCCACCTTCAATAGAAAACGGCACCAGAAGAAAGACGTTTAATAGAAAATCAGACCTTACATTGGGCAGTCTATTTACAAAAAACGTACGCACGCAGACCGATACTTTAATGCATTGTCACATCACCATCAGGCCGAAAAATCATAGGTTCCATCACAAAATACACTTTCGCACAACCTTGAAAAAAAATGAGTCCGAAAGCAACTCACCACCTGCCACTGTGGTCCTTCCATACATTCAAAATATCACTGACCACATAACAAAGAAATATAACCTCAAAACGAGATCTACCACCGGCCCTAAAAACTCCAGAATCCAGAACATTATTTGTAAATAGCATTGTTTTAAATTGAATTAAATTTACGTTCAAACATTTTTCCATCTTAAGCCATTTTAATTCTTGGACCTTGTGAGAAATGTGAGTACGCTTTTTAAATTAAAAATCAAGCGAGCACAATCGTTCTGCATAACCTGTGGCATATTTTTATGCATCTGCGAGACAGTGGAAATACGTGAAATTTCGCTAACTGAATAATAATAGAACAAGAGACTCAGTAACCATTTTAATTTTTAGGGTTAGGAAATGCCTAGTTGTAAAAATGATTTTCACTCCAAACAGGGTGTCGCATTTGTTTTCAAATTGTTAATGAGAGGTTCCATCTTATTTATTTATTTTTATTTACTTATTTATACAATGAATCGCTTAACCGCCGCTCGACGTGTTAAAATTGTGCGGGGTATCCAGCTAATTATTTCAGAACATCCAAAAAATATTAAAATTAAAGACAAAAGTTGTTTGGATTCACTTATACTTTTAAATATTATGTTGTTATATATACAGCACTCATAATTCATGCCCACCCTAGATATAGGATACTCTTACTTTTTATGAGCAAAACAATAAAAAACATGTCAATGAAATTATTTTATTAGGCCTTTGGAAATGTCCACCATTAACTTGAAAATATGCTAATAGATCAGGATATTTACATTAATTTGTCTTATATCGTATCTAACTCAAATTTTCAATTATCTAAATTTTGTGGATTTTCCTTTTCATTTTAAATTGCGAACAGAGGAAAAAATCTAGTGGAGTAATATCTGGAGATCTTGCAGCCCATCCTATCGATCCCCTTCTACCAATCTACCATGGGGCGGAGCACCATTCTGCTTAATCGAATTTCTCTATCTGGCATATCAGGCTGATGTGGGTTTTGGAAAGGAACCGAAGGAGTAGGAATTAAGTCAAGAAATTGTAAATATTGGGCTCCATTTTGTTATTCAAAATTCCTGCTCACACATTTATTTTTTGTGGATGTTGTGTATGACTTTCTCTTGTCCGTCGGGAATTATTCGTTTCGTTCCATTTAAACAAATCCTAACGAGTATGGATAATAGTAATGGATGCACATTTTCTTCATAATTTCACGAAACTGTGGTCTGCTGTCCTTTTTTTATAATGAGTCTTTCTAGATATTTTTTTGTTAAACAAATTCCAAACTTCCTCTTGAGTTCTCATTTCGTCTCCATATGCAACAAAAATTAACAGTTTAATTCTCTGGGTTTCATTTATATTCACTTTCTTTACTGGCAGAAATATAATTGTAACAATTTAACAACATCCCTGGTACTAGCAACTTACCTGTTCATTTCAAAATTAAGTTTATGTTTTTTATTCTTTTGTTCACAAAAAGTAAGAGATATGTGTGGGGTATGTTACATGAATTGTGCTTGAAATATGACACAGAATTCAAAAATGGATTTAAAAAAAATGGTCTTCCATTAAAAAAAGGAACTTGATATGGACATCTCATTTCGGCCCACCCTGTATATTTTATGTTTGCTGCAAAAAATGCGAGAGAAAAAATTGTACAAGCAGCTTTCTTGAAACTCAATACTTTCAATACTGAATTTATTCCATGGTTTAGCCCATCACGGTATTTTTGTTTTCCTTTTGTATTTGTTATGTTTTATTTGTGTAAGCTTTCATGTGCGTCAGTAAGAAATTGTAAATATTATCATATCTACTTTAATAATGTGTTTATAATTAAAAAAAAATGTTTAAGCGTCATTTTCAGACAAACCAAACGAAGGAAGCTGACGTTAAAGTCGCACTTTGCGCACGCTTGATAAGTGCATAATTGGTTTTTAAGAGTAGGGAATCGAAAAAATAAAATAGACTTAATGGTTCAATTAATTGAGAGCTCCTTCCGCATATTTGCATCATACGATCGAAATCGAATATCCGAATCATAACAAACAGTAGAAACGTGAAAAATGTACACAGCGTTCGGGTAAATATGGTCCGCACTTGGCTACGCTTTTAGAATCCTCAAACAATACATTAGAAAGGCAAATATTTGTTTCCCCCGCAGGTTCGCAGACGAGGTATCAAGTGAAAGAATTTCCCGACGGTGGCGCCTTGTTGAGAATAGAGCCGGTGAAAGCTGGAAGAGACGACGCGAACTATGAGTGCGTAGCCGAAAATGGGGTGGGCGACGCCGTCAGCGCCGAGGCAACACTAGTGGTGTTCGAAGGTAAGTGCCGTCTTGTGCCATAGCGATGCCAATTATTATAATTACTGCCATACCTTGTTGCAAAAAAAGGCCAGTACAATGTTTATTTCAGTTTTTATTAGAAAAAAAAATCTAACGCTGCGACGTTGTCGTTTCCTGGAAAACGTAGTATCAACACATTTTCCTATCCGCTAATACTTTATGATTGTTTTTGAATAATACGTTCCTGTACACCTTTAATGGTTTTCGAGTAATTAATTGTTTTCTTTATTTTTCGACCAAAATATTGCTTCAATCAAATTTCTATTACTACCACACTGGAGCCAGTAGAAAGTAAAATTTTGGGGGTAGCTTAGGGAGGTACTGCCCATTATTTCTTAATATCTAAATTAGTTCTATATCATACGGGGTTGGTGAAAACTAATGATTTGCCTACGAGATACAAAAATGGTGAATAGGGCATTTTTAAAAATAGGGCACCCTGTATATCGTCATAGATTATAAGAGCAAATTAAATTCCCTTTCGAATGATGTATTATGCCCCCGTTCCTAAATCGTTTGGTTTCTGAAATAAAAGCAAGTTTCTCTGAAAACTGGATATATCGCTGGCTAATCCCACTGACCCAAATGTCTAAACTAACTGTCATTAAGTAATTCGTAAAATTCTTGTGACACCTCTTCTGTGCAGTGAGCAGGTGCCTCATCTAGTTGGTACCAAGACCTCCGAAGTTCCTGAAAGCTAAGATTCTCGAGAAAATAATTTTCCACTGTTCTTAATATTTGAATGTATTTTGCAGCAACATCATCGTTGTAACGTTAAAAATATTTTAGCTAGATGGAGAATCACTGCTAGGCAACTCACCAAATTTTCAGAACAATTTAATGAACCTTTTGCCGTAAACGTTTAAACGTTACAACTTTGAAACACCCCGTATATGGTTCACAATTTTCTTTAAGTATAATTAAATAAATTAGATTTTATCGTGAACATTAAAATGGTCACCGTAAACTCCCTTCCTAAAGGATGTCGGTGTCTGCGATTTAATTTTCATAATATATAATGAAAATAAGAAAATATATATATAAAGAAATATACACAAAAATATCTGTAACGTGTTACGTATGAATCGTGAATGTACATTTTTTGCTAACAAATGGAAAATCAACCACAGTTCGTATAACAAGAGATATAACAGAAGATTATTTTAGGGATTATTGTGTCTCACAACTACATTATATCCGTTTCATGTGTTATCACTATGTTGTTGGGACTAGAATAGTTCTAGCAAACTATGTTTGTATGTATGTAAAATAAGACATCTCCATGTTTGTATGTTATTTATCCTGACATATTCATCCTTGCCAAATTGTTAAAAGGGGCCCGAAAATATATCACTGATGAAATTCGCTTTCAAACTCCAGACAATCGAATTGAGAGATTTAATAATTTAAGTAATTAATAGTTAAATTCTAGCTCAGAGCATAATTGCGGCGGAGAATATATCGAAAAGCTGTTCTCCCCAAATCCTCTACACAAAACCGATTTAATTGGTTTTGACAGTACATGACGGGACAGATATATTCAAAAAACTCGCTTTTAAAGGAGCGCTGACAAACAAAATTGCAAGAAAAAAAAATACACGCCATCGACTCGACGATTATTTTGGTCGTAGTTTTTGGGGAAAATGCCAGAGCCAATTACTATCCAGCGAAACGTTAATGTTGCAAGAGAACCATACGTCTTTGTTTCAGCACTCAGTGTATCTTTTGGATTCCTCATTTGACTATCCCTGTTGATAGATATAAACCGTGTCCGTCGAATTTTGAAAAGCGTTTCAGGGAAATTGATCATTTTCATTTTCAATACGATGTTTCTTCAGCATGAAAGCTCGCATCGGTAGATCGTTTTTTTGTTTGACCAAGGTAGAGTATTTAGAGTTGGGGATTTCAGTAGTGCTGTGGACACTAAATTACCATTTCCATCAGAAATTACACCTAATTTACTTTAGGATAATAACGAACCAAAGATAAAATCAACAAGAGAAAAAGCAACACAAACTATGACAATCGAATAAATATGGCTTTTGGTGCGGTGTCAGCGATGCGTTATCTTCGCTTAGCTTTGGGCTTCGTCTGCAGTTTGGCATATTTTTCTATTTATGTAAAATAACATGGTAAAAACATATTTCGATTTTAGAAACTTCTTTGTTTCCTGCAATTTTTTCAGACAGAATATGAAATGTAAGGCCAACGAGATTTTTTTATCAAGTAAATTTCTTTATCTCGTTATGCATTGCTTCAGATTTTATTGCTTTCATGGCAACTTTAAGCATTATGAAAGAAATGTAGGAGAGTCTAAATGAAACATAAAATAATTAATTTATTATGTCATTGAATTTAAATTTAGTCAGGAAGAAACGATTGGGGTAGTTTAATTCAATTCCTCCACTTATTAAACAAATATATCCAGAGTGTAATGTAGTATTTTATTGTTCTATCTATTTTTGTTTAAAAGATAAAAATTAAAAACCTTATTACTTTATTTAAACTGCCTTTTATTTTAAACAAAGAATTGCCCCCTTAAATTATTTGCATTTGTTTTGAAACGTGTTGTTAAGCAGGTTCGAGAGTAATAATGTTTGTTATAACTAAATTGTTTAAAACAGAAAGCTTTTTTATTTTTATTTTACATAAGTATAATACGTTTTTAGGTTGTTAAAAACCAAATTTTACTGACCACCTTTGATTTCATACAATTTTTCTAGACAGACTTTGCCTGTATTAGGTTACCTTTTACTATAATTATTTATTTAATAACTTTAATAAGTTAACTTTAATAAGTTAAGCACCAGTTCTCCTGTTTGCGCAGTTCTTTCTAAATGAAAATATCTGAAAATTGATTTAAATGATATTTAATATATTGTTATAAATTAAAACAAAATAAACTATACTTCAGGAAACAGTTACTTGTCACTTTTCTTGGGTAAATTTTAAGGCAACATAAACTTTATTTCGTCCACGATAACAAAGCCTCTAACACAGCTATTCACTATACACACTATTAATCAGTTAGATAGCGTGTCTGTTTATATCCGTTGATTATTTATATTTGAAAGTACCTCTCTTTTCTACTAGGTAGCTATAGAGGGCGGCGCTCCGCTTTTATGGAGAAGCGATGTCTGTGCGCTAGCTCTCTGCATTCGCCCAAGGTTTTGAAATGCAGGGAGTCAAGACCAGGCTAAGCTCAGCCAACTCACTCGTATTATTATCATTATCTCAGTAGACCAAAATGCATATGGAAATTATATTTTCTTTTTCTATCTCAGAAAATAAGGCAGATATTTCTAAGTGATTTGCTTTTTCTTTCTTTTCATTTCTTTTGTTTAGAGTTTAGAATGTACACTCTATACAGAGTTTTTCAGGTTGAACCGGAAGTTGCTGTTAACTTGCTTATTTCAACACCCCATAAATTATTACTTTTTCTGTGTGTCCTACACCTATATCTAACAGTTTTTGAAATATTTGTGGAATGCACATTTGATCCTCATATTTGGTAAAATGTAAATAAAAGGGGCTTAAGTTTCCGTTTTTGTTATGGTTTTTTCTCCAAAATTAGGCCGAAAGTCACTAAACTCAGTTTTTTCAAATGGGATACACTTTAAGTAAGTCCAGAACTTATTTCTCCATCAAACTGTACTAAAGTTACCGATACCAATTCCGAACTATATTCAAAATAATTAGATTTTCTGTTGGTATCGTATCGACAGGCTGAGCATTTTACCTTCACGTACTTGGCTATGGAAAAACAATTATTGCGTTCTTTTGGCAAACATGACAACTAATTATTAATATGCATTTTATGTCGACAGGTGCCGCTAAGAAAGTAAAAGTTTAAATTTAATATGGCAGAATATTCAAGCGCAAAAAGTAATATTCACCGTGAATATAAAACAAATTGAGAATATCAGCATGTGAGTATTCCGCCATATTAATTATAAACTTTTATTTTGTTAGTGCCAGCTGTCGACTTACAATGCATACTAATTTCTACTTATTATATTTGACAACAGTTGAACAAAATGTGAATGATTACGACCTAATTTTGGACACCCTATATAAAATTAGTTCCCAACAATAACGTGAATTTAGCTCACAATTTTTGTACAAGGTCAATTATTTCAAAAATGCTTGGCACATAATACACAAAATCTTTGGAATACGAGGTGTTCGATTTGAAATAAGCAAGTTGACTGCAACTTTCGGTTGAACCCGAAGTGACGGGACTTTGAAAATATTTTAAAAAGAAAGCATACTTGAAACCTACGTTAACTCCAAATGTTGAAAGGCATTTCTAAATTATATCTGGAAAGGCATTTCTAAATTATATCTGATTAAATTTTTAATGAACTGGTTGTGTGAAAAACCCTGTAACCCTGTAATTCGTTTAGAACGATTTAATTTGTTTCTTGTTGCTGACACTATGAAAAGGTATATTCAAATCTGTTACAAGATTTGACCCACAATGTCTGCATAAAATATTATTTCGCGATTAACCATTCCTAATTAAAAATTAAAAATCAAATTATAGTTACATCATTAGATATAATGGTTGATTTCCAAAAAAAAAAAAAATGAAAAGGGTGCAAATGTTTAAAAGTGGTTTGATCCATTAGAGCCCATTGGCACTATCAATACCAGCGCTTTAGTTATTGTTTAGCAAATGCATGCATATCACTACGCTGCTCAGGTTAATTAGTCCAGACGGGCAGACACCCCGGACATGAATAGTTTATGATTTATGGCTCCTTTCGGGTATTATCCGGGGGTCCGACCAGGCTGCAATGTACGGTGCATTTACAGCCGTCGAAGATCCCGCAAGTCCATTGTTCCGCGGTCGCAAACAACCCGTCCGAAACTCTGCTCGACTCCAGGCGTTGCATTCGACAAAATGAACCTTGGAACATTGTTAAATTGGATGTTTGCGGTCACCGCCTTCCCTCGGTTTTGTTCGGCTGGAAACA